CCCCCCCCCCCCCCCCCCCCCCCCTTATCCCTTCAGATTATTTATTGAGTTCAATTCCTGCTTCGGGCCCCCTTCCATTTTGAAAACTAGCCGTTGCTTGTGGCTCATCTCGCGCGCAAAGCACACTCTCTAATCGTCATCCCCTTCACGCCAGACCGTCACGATCGTGAAGCCCGCAGCAAGACGATGCCTACGAACGATGCGCACGCTACACCAGCCAGGGCTACCTCGTCGTTGAGGACTGCTGTGGAGCGTGAGGGCCCGCCCGCTCAGGAAGTGGTCCACAGAGACAAACGGACGAGGGTGGGCGACCGTGATGGCGGACAACCCCCATCAAGCAGGAAGGGTAATAGAGGAACGCCCATCAAGGTGAGTTCGTACCTGTTCATTGCCGCTCTGCATGCGAACCGAGCGCACCACATGCCCGGTACACCGTGCGTGCTATTTGTAAGTACTGATTGATGTGTTTGGCGTTTGATCATCGCATATGCATCACCTCCGCCCTCCCGCGCTGCTGGGCACACCTGCTGTGCTGTGCTCCGCTCTCCGTGTATCGCCACATCAGTCAAATATGTCCCCTGACGTTCTTTACGGCACAAGACGGCTAGTCGTACGTCTTCATCGCAGACTGCTGTGTTAGCGACTGGAGGACAGATGATAGGTCTATCGTCGTATCGTCAACGCCGATTAACCGCGTGTTTCTTTTCTGCAGTATCACATTCGAAACACATAACGGCCGTATGCATGTGCATGTACACCCGCTCACCCTTCGGGGGTTTGACAACTTGGGTTTAATCATATAGAAGTACTCTCATATGTGTGTCTTGTGGCTTCGCCTCTGTAACCTCATGATAGATTCCCTTTATGAGTGCGTGCGAGCGTACAGAAACGACAAGGTGAGATCGAGGCGTACACCCGCGTCCAAGAGGACCCAAACATATTCACCGCGTATCTCGCCCTCAGGTCTACTCTGGTTCAGAGACGCACCTATTTAGTGTCAGCTACCCTTCATCGTGCTCGAAGTCATAGAGCAAGTAAACACACCTGTACGACTAAGTCTGCCACACATGAACCTACAATCTGCGCGGCACCGCGTACGGTAGGCCAATCAAGGACATTATTGAAAAGGGTGCTGACCCAAATTCAAATTCTTGCCCTCCCAAAAAATAACTCCTACATGTAAAGATTATAGACTACCATATTTCCCTTCGAAATTTGAATTTCCCAAATTTGAACTTCGAACTTGCGTTGCTTCTTCTGTAGACTTGCATGCGTATGGCTAAATAGTGTACACGCGGAGATACACTGGTGTCCATCACCAAACCCCCTCCTTACCCGCCGGCTTCTTGAGCTCAACACCATTAGAGTGTTTTTGTTTTCCCTGTGGCCGTGCTGGAGCGAGAGGTTTGTATGCGTTCTGGTACATCCAGAGTACCAATTGAGTCTCTCCCCCCCCAACCTTCCCCTACCTTGTGTGTTCAATCCGCCGCTCGATACTTCGTTCGGTGTTTCATATTTTTATTGTTGGTGGCGTAGCGCAAATAGATACCACGTCTAGTGCAACACATGTTAAGGCGATGATATTTATCTGGGGAGAAGATTTTTTTTGTTTATTGATAGGAACAGTCTATATTCTAGAGATTCTTTGCCCTGGCATGTCGCAGGATACGGGTGNGTTTTTTATTGTTTATTGATAGGAACAGTGACATTTTAGAGATTTTTTGCCCTGGCATGTCGCAGGATACGGGTACATGTATTGCACCACACAACGAACAAACACGCCCCCCCTGCCACCTACCCCATCACCCCCATCACCCGAGAGGCAGCACGATGATATGTGGTGACACGCCCCCCATTGAATCTCCTCCAACCTACTCAATCCACGCCGCCCCACGCTAGGACCCGAGAAACCGGTCTGTCTGCAGGTCTTCCGTTCGTTTACCCCGTACCTCCGCTATATCCCTTGAAGCGTCAGGCCTTTTGCGCTATCCTCGCCGTGCTTTCCTGCGACAACCTGCGTAGTGTTTTGGGATCAGTTTTTCCTGGTAGGACCGCATCACAGTTCGGTTCTGCCAGGTTGCTGCCGGTATCGAGCGGTAAATCCCCAACATCATATTGCCGAGTGTAACCCTATCGCGCATGACTGAGACCTAACCGATACATCACTCACCCCCCCCATACACCCCATGCTACGCGTTTTGTAGGCTCCAGTAGCCTCGTACTCGCACGGGCCGTGTTCAACACGCGGCTCTCGCCGCCATCTTCTAGCGCGCAGGACCACAAGGACGACGACGGCGGCGACGACGAAGATGACAGCGACAGCGACGACGGCAACTACGTCACGACAGCAAAGTTCGAGAAGGTGATGGGTTCGAAGAGAGGCAAGGAGACGGTGCAACTGATCGCCGCGACTGCTGCCGAGCGCCGCCAGGGTAGCTACGCGGCAGGCCTTGAAGTCCGCGCAGCAGCAGTTGGCAATGGTGCCGCAGCAACAGGTAAGCGGAGCAGAGGACCGTTCTGGGGTCTTTGTGTGGGAAGAGGAAGGGAAGCTGCAGCGTTTGTGCGTGGTTGGCGATGAGTGCAAGCACATGCCGTGACATGTCCTTTTTCTTTTTTTTTTCTTGTCGCGTTGTAGATAAGTGTTTCAGCCATCGTTTCTTTCCCGCCCAGAGGTGCCGTGCGTTGACATGTGGCTATTTCGGGGGGAGAGTTGTTTCGCCTGCTCTCACGCTTCCGTGGTGCCTCTCCCCATGCATGGGTATCCCTCGTTTGCCTCACGGCTCCCTCCCTCCTCCCCGTTGCTGCGAATTGCCCGCCCTCCTTCCGGCGTCTAGGCCGCGAAGTCGCACAAAAGTGGCAAGGGGTCAGAGCGCGGCCCACGTATGAGATGCGCCATCCTCGCCACTGGCGCATTCGTGAAGTTGAGCAGGTGGACGAAGGACACCGGGGAGCTCGTCCCCTATACCCCAACCACCACCAACTGCCACGCCAAGAAGGCCGTTTACGACTTGATGCGCTATGTGGGCAGCGTGGCCATTCCGGACAAAGATGTCCAAAGTGAGCGAACATGGTAGTCCTGGGAGCAACATTTTTTTTCCTTGTGCGTTCAAACATGTCACGAGCCCGGCAGCCGATGTCAGGTGTACCCGCTCGACTGCAAGTCCCTGCGCGTTCGTATGTTGACTCGTCTGCATTTCATAGAGCCACAAAGTGTTGAGGACGTTGCGCTAGAGTGCCATCATTGATTTGCAACGCGAGGTGAGCACCCGCGGTTGGCGTTTTGAATTAGTCTCCCAAGAAAGTGACCATAAAACATATGTCCGGTCAATCACCAGCCGCGTGTTGCATGGCCGAAATTTCAGTTGTAAATTAAGATGACAACGTTCGGCGTGTGATTGTTTCCATTCCGTCATAACACGCACACCGCTTCTGCCTGCCCGCCTCACGCCTGCATGCGTACGACTGCTTCCTGTGCCGTCGGACGGCCGTACTGCTCGCCGCTCAGAGCACGTGAAGTGGACGAGGGAAGCCACACGGGTTGCCCTCCTGGACCTCGTCCAAGAAACCGCAAGTCCCACAAGGACAGGCCGAATGTCCTTGAGGGGTGGACTCGCAGCAGATTTTACAACAGAGTCCTCATCCAAGTCGACCTCCTGACCCCCGACAAGGAGGTGCGACTAGAAGAAGTCGCGTGATGTGTTTTCCTTTGAACACAATCTCAACCCCCCTCTTAGTATGTACAACCCTCACTTCACCGTTGCTGAAAATCCTTACGTTTGAATACCCTACTCGGTTCCTCGCAGTATAAAGGAGTTCCTACGTCATACGTCAAGCGTCGTGTGCATGTAGCGCTATTTTCACCTCCTAAACACGCCAACCGCACGTTTCTTGTCTCTGAGGGCTGGCAACTCGCAACCCACTCCAATCGCGGATACATCTCGTCGGCCTTTTCCTGGACTACGACATGAAAGGAGCAACATTAACAAACCTGTCTGCGTTTTCGTACAAGGGACACTGACCAATACCTCCCCTCGCGTTGCCCCCGCAACAGGTGTACCGGGCCTTCATCTTTGAGTTCCTCCGGCAGGTGCTGCATGAAGGGCTTCAAGCCATAGTCCCAGGCTTTACGCCCCGCGCGGGAGTCTTGTTTGGCAAGGATACCACTCACGACCACCTATGCGACGAGGTGATATGCCAGGACGCCGTTTTTTTTTGTTCGTGTTGTATGTGTGGTTTATTATTGACGCCGTTTCTTCGTGTTGTAGGTGTGTGATTTATTTATTTTGGACGCGTAGATTTCGAACTATTGTTTGCGAGGCAATTTAGCCTCTTGTTGACCAATGGTATAGCAACGCGAGGCACATGCACACAGGCCACAATACTGCTAAATCTTGCCATATCCGTCCCCCCCGCCGGCGCTTTCGCTCTACCCTAGATAATGAAACCCATCGCCCAAGCGGCAATCATGGCGGTTTGTCATGAGCCTGTTCCCGACGGCGAGACCGACGAAGGTTTCGATGAGATGCTTGAGACAGTCGAGTGGCAGGTAAACTGTGTGCTGGAGGAGAAGGGCAAGAGCGTCTACGAGCACGCCCAGAGGTTTATCGTTGCCACGTGAGTAAAGCTTTCATGTATTATTGTGCCGCGTGCGACAACTCCTTCATTTGGGCAGGAAAATTCTGCTGCTTGGCTCTTCNCTCTACCCTAGATAATGAAACCCATCGCCCAAGCGGCAATCATGGCGGTTTGTCATGAGCCTGTTCCCGACGGCGAGACCGACGAAGGTTTCGATGAGATGCTTGAGACAGTCGAGTGGCAGGTAAACTGTGTGCTGGAGGAGAAGGGCAAGAGCGTCTACGAGCACGCCCAGAGGTTTATCGTTGCCACGTGAGTAAAGCTTTCATGTATTATTGTGCCGCGTGCGACAACTCCTTCATTTGGGCAGGGAAATTCTGCTGCTTGGCTCTTAAAAGGATTTGTGCCTGGTCCTGTTTGTTTTCATCTGTCGTTCGTGCGGGGGTACGTATGCATTAAGAGTGGCAATGAGAGACCAGGTATCTCTTCCGTCCTACACCGTATGTTGTTGTCTCTTGTCGGTGTTGGCGCCCTCGCACAACAATGATAAGGATCTGGGAGACCGGGTATCGGTTCCAGTTCGGCCCCGGAAGGATTGCCAGCAAACTGGACAAGAACGTCTCGGACATCACGGAGCAAGACGCCGTCAACGCCTTCATTNAGTGGCAATGAGAGACCAGGTATCTCTTCCGTCCTACACCGTATGTTGTTTTCTCTTGTCGGTGTTGGCGCCCTCGCACAACAATGATAAGGATCTGGGAGACCGGGTATCGGTTCCAGTTCGGCCCCGGAAGGATTGCCAGCAAACTGGACAAGAACGTTTCGGACATCACGGAGCAAGACGCCGTCAACGCCTTCATCCCATACCTGGACAGTGAGTCTGCCATAGGATTCCCTTCAGCATCGTCGATTACATTAGTGTTTCAGCTCTTTTTCTTTTTTTTGCGCAAGGTATTTCCGTCTCGCCGATCTCCCTGCCTGTTGCCTCCAGGTTCCGGGGGAATGCGGGAAAGTGTCGAATTTTTTGCCACACCGCGTGTTGCAGTTTCCCTTGATTAGCTTCCCGCCTCTCCACCCCGCTTGTGCATTGTNTCAAACACGCCCATCACTTCGTGGGCTCAACAAAGAAGATACCCGTTGCTTTTTTTTCGCCCCTGTTTTTTTTTTGGCGGTGATCATGATGGTGGTCGAGTAGATTTTGGTGTCCGGGGTCGCCTCACTTGGAGCAAAGGAGCTGATCACATTGCGCGTCTTTACTGGGTCACGTACCCTCGAGGCACTTTGACGCAGCGCTTACAGCTGTCTCAGAAGAAGGAAACGGCAAAACATTTATTGTGTCACTCGCAGCTGTCACCCGAATTCAAAGGAAGTAAGCACAAGTGGCCGAACACCCTTCGCGGGATGCAGCGCACCCCCCATGCGACCNCCGAATTCAAAGGAAGTAAGCACAAGATGCCGAACACCCTTCGCGGGATGCAGCGCACCCTCCATGCGACTCGGTATTTCACGGCTCTTTCCGCTTGGTGATTGCGAGCCTGGTCCGGCGAGAACCCGGCGTGCTCCGTCCCGGCATTGTAGGGGTGCGAGGCCAATGGTCTAATGACTACGGTTATGGTTTGGGTCAGGGATACTCCGGGCTAGGGGTAACGAAACGCCAGCTGTCCTGCGATTTTTCCATGAGTGTTATTTCACCAACAATAATTACTCCCCGACCGGAAATCATATTTCACTAGACCACGGTAGTTTCACACCGAGACGTGTGTGGTGGTGATTGTTGAAGTACATTGGTCCTGCCTATGAGAGAGTAGCACACGTTTTTGAATCTCGAATGCATCCATTAACCGCACCAAGCCGGTAGTTCTTGTCCCCGCGTGTTTGCGTGCGATCGCAAGCAGCGAAGTCAATATGGTGCTAGCAAAGTGCTCCATCCTCTAACACCACTCCATCAAAATATATCTTCCTCTTGGTGACCGTTTTGTTCCGCGCTGGCTCCCGTTCGTATGNGTTTGCGTGCGATCGCAAGCAGCGAAGTCAATATGGTGCTAGCAAAGTGCTCCATCCTCTAACACCACTCCATCAAAATATATCTTCCTCTTGGTGACCGTTTTGTTCCGCGCTGGCTCCCGTTCGTATGCCCCCCTTCCCCAAATCTTCGGTACACACAGACCCCACCAACGGTCCGGGCTTCGACGACGACGGCAACGAAACTGACGGCGAAGAATACGGCAATGGCTTGGGAGGCGATGGCTCGGGCGGCGACGGCTCGGGCGGCGACCGCGGCACCAACCGCGGTAACGTCGAGGCGGGCGAGCAGCGTGGTGCTGACGAGGATGCAGTCCCCTCCGAGCGCACCAACAAAGAAATGACGGATGGAGGAGGGGCATCCGGTAGTGGTGTTCGTAAGGCTGACTAGGGTTACGGATAACGGTGATAGTAAGGCTGACCAAGTATGCGGGAAGTCGCACAAGTATTTTTCGGGGTCATCTTCCGTATCACAGCGGGAGACATAATGACCAAAATAGGTTGGGTTCGTCCAGCCCATGAGCCCATGGATGGTGTTTTTTCTTTAGTCGCACAGCTTTTCGGGCACGGCATTTTGCCTGTACATGTATACTAGTGATGTTTTCAGCAACGCCGTGTACTAATACCATGCACACACAGCAGTTGCAGCTCGTCTTTTACAGTTGGCGGGGGTTGTCTTGTAGCGTGGCGATGTCAGGAATGCTGGTCGTGCAAATAGCAGCAAAGTAGCACTTTGCGCTGCTGGTGTAGGGGAATTTTGTCAGTCCTTTTTCTTTGTCGCTCTCGCTCTGTTCGGTACTTTTCCGTTGCGGGAAAACTTAGCGACACAATGTTGGGCGGTGTGAGCACAGCCAAGTATAGTGCTCTTTACCCTCTGGTGTAGATATTTTAAAATTGGACATTTCCGTTTTTGTTGATAGCAGTTCTATTAAGCTCCTACGTATATAGGTAGCCCTTTTCCTTCGTCGTTGTAATAAATTTCGTCTTGTTTTTCGTTGCAGGGATTCCGTGGAGAGTCGTTGGGTGTTTCGTGATTTAGGAAAGAGAAAAGGAAGTACTAGACCTGCTTCAATATCAACGGCTGTGGCACTTCCTCACGCCATGTATTACTGCTTGCCGTGCTCACCTACCTTGTGAGTGTTGCTTCTAAGTAACGAGGTCATTTTAGAGAGGGACAACACGTGAACGTGAACAACATCACGTGAGTTGTTCCCAGCAGCCTCTCTCCTGGAAGAGACGCATCGCCACATCCTCCTGGACACTAATTGTCCCCCATTTACTCACGGGAAAGTTCTCTGGCCGTCCCTCTCGAGGTTGTTCTTTGTAATAATCCACGGCGGGGAAAACATTACCCAACCTCCCAGAGGATTTTCACCTCCCCTCCCTCCCAGAGGTTACCGTTTTTCNAATTTCGTCTTGTTTTTCGTTGCAGGGATTCCGTGGAGAGTCGTTGGGTGTTTCGTGATTTAGGAAAGAGAAAAGGAAGTACTAGACCTGCTTCAATATCAACGGCTGTGGCACTTCCTCACGCCATGTATTACTGCTTGCCGTGCTCACCTACCTTGTGAGTGTTGCTTCTAAGTAACGAGGTCATTTTAGAGAGGGACAACACGTGAACGTGAACAACATCACGTGAGTTGTTCCCAGCAGCCTCTCTCCTGGAAGAGACGCATCGCCACATCCTCCTGGACACTAATTGTCCCCCATTTACTCACGGGAAAGTTCTCTGGCCGTCCCTCTCGAGGTTGTTCTTTGTAATAATCCACGGCGGGGAAAACATTACCCAACCTCCCAGAGGATTTTCACCTCCCCTCCCTCCCAGAGGTTACCGTTTTTCCACCCCTCTAGAGGTTTGTTTGCAATTATCCACGGCGAGGGAAACAGTACCTAATCCCCCAGAGGATAGGTGAAAACATATCCTCTCAGAGGATAGGTCAAACCAAATCCTATCAAGGGGTAGGTCAAACCAAATCCTCTGGAGGATTGCCCAAAAAAAAGAAGCTCTGATTTGGAAAAAAGGTTATCCCCTCAAAGGAAAGCCCCCCACCCAGTGCTCTGGAGGATCACCGTCCGAAATCCTCTGGAGGAAGTTGTAATGTGTTCCCCGCGGAGTATTTCTTCCGACGATCCTCCAGAGGATTCCGGGCAGTGATCCTCCAGGGCTTGNAACCAAATCCTATCAAGGGGTAGGTCAAACCAAATCCTCTGGAGGATTGCCCAAAAAAAAGAAGCTCTGATTTGGAAAAAAGGTTATCCCCTCAAAGGAAAGCCCCCCACCCAGTGCTCTGGAGGATCACCGTCCGAAATCCTCTGGAGGAAGTTGTAATGTGTTCCCCGCGGAGTATTTCTTCCGACGATCCTCCAGAGGATTCCGGGCAGTGATCCTCCAGGGCTTGGGGTGAGGGTTTCCTCTGGGGGGATAACCTTTTTACCAAATCAGAGCTTCCGCTTTTTTGGGCAATCCTCTGAGGATTGCTGTTTCACCTTTCCCCTAGAGGATTTTCACCCTAGCCATTTATCTACCTGTGAGACGGCGTCCGGTGCTGTTCCCTTCAGTCGCAATCGGGCGGCATGTGCACATGTACCATCGCTGTCCAGGGCCCGAGCATCCGCCTGCTGATCATNGAGGATTGCTGTTTCACCTTTCCCCTAGAGGATTTTCACCCTAGCCATTTATCTACCTGTGAGACGGCGTCCGGTGCTGTTCCCTTCAGTCGCAATCGGGCGGCATGTGCACATGTACCATCGCTGTCCAGGGCCCGAGCATCCGCCTGCTGATCATGAATGGATGTGTGGACCTGAACGATGTGGTCGGAGCGGACGCCAAGTGTGGCGACACAAGTTCAGGCTGGCGTCGCCGGGAGACGGGCCGTGCGACTGCTTTCTCTTGAATGAATTCCACCAAAGCATCAACCGAGTCTTTTGTCTAGAACTTTATCCCAGGTATGCATACATACAGATAAATGCTTGACGTTGAACCTAAAGTTTTGTAAACATTTAGGCCGTACAGTTGTGTTCGCAGAGCCCAAACGTGTGCCCAACTTTCCCTGCCCTAAAATGAGAGACCTACAGTAACAACCGCCCTGCGCTCGACGTTGCGACANTGTGGCGACACAAGTTCAGGCTGGCGTCGCCGGGAGACGGGCCGTGCGACTGCTTTCTCTTGAATGAATTCCACCAAAGCATCAACCGAGTCTTTTGTCTAGAACTTTATCCCAGGTATGCATACATACAGATAAATGCTTGACGTTGAACCTAAAGTTTTGTAAACATTTAGGCCGTACAGTTGTGTTCGCAGAGCCCAAACGTGTGCCCAACTTTCCCTGCCCTAAAATGAGAGACCTACAGTAACAACCGCCCTGCGCTCGACGTTGCGACAGCAGGTACAGCGGTAACCCTGCGGAGAGAGTGTGCGCATTGCCACTGGAGAGCTACATATTCGATGAGGTTGTTGGGGTAGACGAAATAAAAACACGTTGCGACGAATTGGAAAGAGTTATACTCATGTGCATGCGCCGGATACACGCGGACACACGCGGAGAGGAGGTAGAGTTTTCTTGAGCATTTGGGATGGATGAAATTGATGGAGAGATGGGGCGCCGGCGTGCAGCGTGTGGGATGTGTGCGGGCGCTCGAGGGAGAGGGGGAGAGGGTTGGGCAGGACTGCGTGGTTGTTCCTGCAATGCTTTCGCCGGCCTACATGGGGTAGCACGGATCAACTGATTTTGGGTGAGCGGCCGAGTGACGTTTTTTTTTTTTGCTGAACCTGATGAAAGTACCCTCTCACTTTATGTATATAGCTCTCTTGGAAGAGCATGTCATGCGCGAGGGCATTTTCACGATTTTTTTCCCACAAAACAGGTACAGAATTCTTCTTGTTGTCGGGCCATTCGTGTCAACACTTCGCGTTCGAGGGGCGCTCATATTTGACCCCACCGCGTGCCCGGTGTGTACTTTGTACGTATCGAAAACAGTGTTTTGGTTTGTGGCCCATGTACACATGTAGCCGGCGGGACATATATTTGTTCATCACGAGATACACGGCCGCGTGCCCCCATATCTTCACCATAGCTATATAGAGAGATGAGAAGGACGTTATAGGTTATTGTGACGTTTTTTTTCTCGATGTCGAGATGGTCAGCCGAGTGAAAAGTTCCATCATTTTTGCGCGCGGTAACAATTACAGTGGTATAATAAAGCAAGTATCGCTCCCGCCGGTAGCCCCTCGGGGGTCGGTGGTAGTTTATGCTTGTCACCAGCGCAACCCACAGCGTCTCGTTTTTGACGTGGACGTGTACGACTATAAAGAACGTGGTGTGGCGGGGTGTGTAAATTTTGTTCGGCGACACCACCCACATAATAATGTGACGCTAGGGAGTGGCTGGATACTCCCTTGCATAGTGTGGTACCTTGAGAAGCCCAAGGACGACCACCTTACAAGGCGGACCCCGACCGTTTTAAGGACGATCCTAGCCCTAGCAAGTCGGAACCCTCTCGCACAGACCATAAGCCAACCGTGTAGGGCCTCGACCCAGGACAAGGCCGGGACAGTCTTGCCTATACAGGAAGCCAAACGTCCAGAGCTAATCCTGAACACCTTGTACATTCTTGCGCCCCTTTGCACTGGGCGTAGTCGAGCCCTACAGGGCCCTGGCCCAGGGTAAGGCCGAGACAGCCCACCCTGTATAAGAAGCCAACCTTGTAGGCGTCGCCGTGGACACCTTGTACTTTCTTTCGCCCTGTCGACCTGACCCTAACCCAACCCTACAGGCTCCTGACCCCGTACAAGGACACGTAGACGGTGCCTGTACAACATGAAACCCCTACAGGGCTGAGCACTCATACCTTGTACAATACAGAAACCATGTACCGGGCGAACACAAGGTGTACACAGGGTAAGACGGCCTACAGGCCCCGCCCAGGGTCTCGAAAGTGGGTACGTGTGCACTGAAGCTCCGCGCTTGAAGTTCGGCCTCCACGGTGTTCTGTGCTGCGAGAGTCTGTTCCTTGGCACCGTAGCTGATCAGTCCACCTCCTAGGAAGAACAGGTATCTGTTGGTAGACCTGCCGTTCTCTGGGTTGGCTCCAAATGACGAGCNTACACAGGGTAAGACGGCCTACAGGCCCCGCCCAGGGTCTCGAAAGTGGGTACGTGTGCACTGAAGCTCCGCGCTTGAAGTTCGGCCTCCACGGTGTTCTGTGCTGCGAGAGTCTGTTCCTTGGCACCGTAGCTGATCAGTCCACCTCCTAGGAAGAACAGGTATCTGTTGGTAGACCTGCCGTTCTCTGGGTTGGCTCCAAATGACGAGCCAGTGAAGCACGAGAGTCCGAACTGCCCCTTCTTGTACACGATCGGCAGGTCCGGCGTTCCGCGTAGGTACCGTAGCAGGTGCTTGGCCGCAGCCATGTGGACCTGTGCTGTGTTTGTGTACCCCCGTGACCACCCACGGAGGTTGCCGTGCCCACCCACGGAGGATACCGTGCCCACCCACGGTATGATGTCTGTCTGGGGACTATGTTTACTCAGAGGACCGATGCAGATGATATATAAAAATATCCTTGATTAACACACACGTGCTCTTCCAGCACGGACCAAAGTCAGTACAGGTCCTGTTTCAGTGAACATATGCGCGGGCTCTCACGAGGGGGGCCGCAATTGGACCCCCAACAGTTTACGCCCCGCACACATGTTCTCTGCAGATCGGATCTTGTATCAAAGCGTCTCCACCAGTTTATCCATGAACCAAATGTATTCTCAAACCGTCAAAACAAAAGAATCATCCTCAGAAAAGGACCCAACAAATATCTGCGCTACATCAGAAGAGCGTCAGAACGGTGACGGAAAAATCTGGAAAAACAGCTCCAAAAGAGTTTACACAACACAAAGTATCAAATTCTTGACCAATGATAGCAAGCATTCGGAAAGCACAAAGGCCCCAACCATTACTCGTCGAAACATGTCAAAACCTTCCTCCAATATAACGTCCAAGGACCAAATCCTAAACAGCGCGTACATGCTATCGGTGCCTCAGCTGTTGTCCAAGAGACGATCGAAATATATGCATATATTCATGCAAACAGCCCCCCTGGCGGACCATTTCCCGAAACATGCAGATTTTGTGCCACCCTTCTCTCAATACCCCAGCTGGAACATTTCCCCGAAACACACATACAGATCTGCCTGCGTTTTCTTCCCCTCCTATTCAACCATCAGAAGATATCATAACATCGAAGAGTATGAAACAGCCCCCCAGCTGGAGCACGCCCTGCAAACACAAGAAAAACATAGACAACATAGATGCATTAGCTAGTGTTGCGTCTGGAATCATGACAACATATTTTCCCCCCCCTGATACTTGACGCAAAACACAGCAGAACGAAGAAAACGCCAAGAAAATAATAACGAAACAGATCCAACTTGAACAGAACTCGATGAAAGCACTCTGCTCTGCTGGTGGCTGCCGCTAGAAACATGGTAGACAAATCCCCCCCCCATGGTTCTTGACATCAGTATAAACAGCTGAGTTCAACAATTATCTGTGAATTTCGCATGGTATACAAAAATGGGCCAAAATACAAGAAGTCAAAGCCCAGAAAAAAAATCAAACACTAACAAAAATGCCGTTCACATCAACGCATTGTCTCTCGGAGGCGACTCCTGGATGAATTTCTCGTCTTTTGCGCAACGGGAGGCATGCGGTCGACATGGAACAACGAAAACATTCCAAAACCATAAAGAAGAAAACAACGTGATGTTCACATACCAATACCTGCACGAAAAAAAAACGAAGTCGGGAACATGTCACATGGTCTCCAATTTGGCGCAGGTACGGCGAGGCGGTCATTGCCACCGTTTCCTCGCCCTGCTCGGTCGACTCGAGGGTGTCCACCGGAGCCATATATAACAAGGTCTTCGTGTGATTGAGAGCGAAGTTTCTGATTGAGAGCGAGGTTGCGCGATGCGCTGTAGCTGGACTACCGCTGAGAGGTGGAGCTTGCTGCGTGACTTGAATTGAAGGCCTAGCCCGTAGCTACAAGCCGATACCCTGGTCATCCTGTGGGCGTCTCTCGTTGTGGAGCTACAGCGGGGAGCAGAATCTACAGCAGAGCTCACCGCCCGCGATCAAATCGCCCTGAAACAGTTTGAGGCAGGAATAGCCAATCTGGGGAAATCTAGCAACTTGTCTAGCTCCTAGCTGCAGCATCCGATCGCGATGACACGCATATGCTCGTGACGCTGCTGATGAGACCTTCAATTTGCGCCGCTTCTTGGAAGAGCCCGCCCCCTACTTCCCAAGGAATGGCAAGAGGCGTCTGGACCCGAAATTACTATTTTTTTGGCTCCCGCTCTCAATCGTATACTCCGCTCTTAATCAGGCGAAAACCCTGTTTTATCCGTCTTCCGCTTCGCTGCTTTTCCCCAAATTGCGCCGCGCCCGCCCCGCATTAGCTTGCGCGTACGTCGCCGGGGCTCGCTGCAGGTGTGGCGCTGTGG